TTATTATATGCAAAAACTAAGATAACTACAATAAAAGACATTAGACAGCTGATTTCTCTGCAACAACAATGGAAGCAGGAAGACAGTGGAATAATAGCAAAATACTTGCAGAGAAACTACTTTGCTTGAATTTTTCACTTAATGAAATCATCTTTCAAAAAATAATCATAAGGGGCCAGCAGGTGGTGTGATGGTTAAAGGCGCTGGACTCCCACATAGCCAACCGTGGTTCAAGTCCTGGACCTGGCGGCTTACTTTCTCGCTTTCCCTCTCTGTCTCTTTCTGATCAAACTGAAAAATAATAATAGTAAATAAAAAAGTTAAATAAAATTATTCTTTAAAAAATAATAAAAATAATCATAAAACAATTATTTCACTTATCTGTGGAATATCAAAACCAGACTCATAGAAGTCTGGAGTATAGTATGGTTTCCCAAGGTGGGAGAAGGGAGAGTGAGGAGATGTTCGACAAAGACACAGTTTCAGGTCCAGCGGTGGTTAAAGCACTGGACACATGGCTGACCACAGTTCAAGTCCCAGACCCAGAAGCCTGAAAATCACACCAGGCACGCATGCCCAAAATCCCAAAAGGAGAAGGGATTGCAACATGGCAGTCTTCCATAGGGGGTGACTTCTCATTTTCCCTCTCACTCTCTCTCTCTTTCTCGGTGAGCATACATGTCCAATGGCAAAAAAAAAAAAAGAAAAAGAAAAAACTTTAAAAAGAAGTGCAAAGTTTCAGTCAGAAGGAATATATTTTTGAAATCTGTTTCATGATGACTAATGTTAATAATTACATACTATGTATTTTTAAATTTCTAAAAGAGATTTTAAATGGTCTCATCACAAAAAATGATGAGTATGTGAGATGATGGGTATATTAACTAGCTTGATTCGGTCATTCCACAATGTATACCTATATTAAAATACAATACAAAATACAATATCGTACCCCATAAATATATGAAATTATTATTTGTCAATTAAGAATTTTTTAATTTAATAAGCATAAAACAAAGGTACTTCTTTTATATATACTAATAGTATTATTTTATATTAATTTTTATGTATTACATATATTAAACATATTAAAATTGTTAATTTGTGGAACCAGCAGTTAGCGTAATGGCTATGTCACTGGACTCTCATGTAGTTGACCACAGTTAGAGTCCTGGACCCGGTGACTTAAACTCACGCCAAGCGCATGTGCGTGCGTGCCCAAGATCCCTAGAGGAGAATGGAGGAGAAGGGATTGCGGCATGGCCATGCCCCCTGGGGAGTGATTTCTCGCTTTCTGTCTCTCTGTCTCTCTCTCTGGCGAGCACACACACCCTATACAAAAATCTCTCCCCAAAATAAAAAGTGTTAATTTGTGAAATAACCTCTGGTTACAGAAATCAGTGCAGCAGAAGAGAGAGACCAAAGACATACACATATACAACAACAGCAAAAAAACATGTAACAGAAAATTATGCAATTCAGTAGGAAAAGATAAGCTTATAATAAAATGTGTCTGGACAATTGGTCTTGTACTTGGGGAAAAATTTGACATCCGGGACCAGCAGATGTTGTAGTGGTCATGTTGCTGGATTCCCACATGGCCAACCTCGGTTCTGGTCCCAGACCCTGTGGTTTGAAAATCATGCTGGGGGGGACCAGCAGTTAGCATAATGGCTATGTCACTGGACTCCCATATAGCTAACCGCGGTTCAAGTCCCAGACCCAGTGGCTTAAACTCACAGCAGGCGCGTGTGCATGTGTGCCCAAGATCCTGAGAGGAGAATGGAAGAGAAGGGATTGCGGCATGGCCATCCCCCCCGGGGAGTGATTTCTCGCTTTCTATCTTTCTGTCTCTCTCTGTCTTTCTGATGAGTACACATGCCCTGTAGCAAAAACCTCTCCAAAAAAAATTTAAAAACAAAAACAAATCATGCCGGGCACATGTGCGTGTGTGTCCAAGATCCCAAGAAGAGAATGGAGAAGGAATTGCAGCATGGTCATCCCCCCAAAGGGTGATCTCTCGCTTTCCCTCTCACTGTCTCTCTTTCTCTCTCCAGCAAGTACACAAGCCCTAAGGCAAAATTCTCTTTAAAAAATAAATTAATATCCAACTACTAACCCATGATTATAAAACAATCCTTTACATCTGGATAAAGAGCTTAATTTTTAATTTTTTTTCTTTGCTGTAGAGTGTGTGCACTCACCAGAGAGAGACAGAAATAGAGAGTGAGTAGTCATCCCCAGGGGGATGGCCATGCCACAATCTTTTCTATTCTCCTCTAGGTGTTTTGGGTATGCATCCACACGCACCAGGTGTGTTTATCAAGCTGCTGTGTCCAGTACTCAAATCGCACAGAAGACCATGTAGAATCAGCTTCCTTAACCACCAGGCCACAGGCTGGCCCAAATAGCTTAGGTTTTGAAAGGTAAAGATTTAAATATCAGGGAAATAATAAAAATGATCTTTGAATAGGGAGTGTTTCCTAAATAATATACAAGACTTGCAAAACGTAAGAAACAAAATGATGAGTTTCAAACTTTTTAAAATAAACAACTTCTGTTTATCAAAAAACACTGTAATGAATGTTAATTAAAACAAGTCACAAGGGACCAGCAGGTGGTGTGGTGGTGAAGGACTAGACTCCCACATGGTTGACCACAGTTCAATTCCCAGACCTGATGACTTGCTTTCTCATTCTCTCTCTCTCTCTCTCTCTCTCTCTCTCTCTCTGGTGAGCATGCATACCCTATAGCAAATTAAAACAAGTAATAATAATGATAAATAAAATTAAATAAACAATTCTTTTTTTTTAAAGTCACAAGATGGAAAAAGATTTCAACAAGCATAAGTAATAAAGTTCCAAAAATTAACAACAAAGTGGGCAAAAGATATAAACATATATTATACAGAAGATATTACATGAATGGCCAATGCATTTATGAAAACATGATCAACCTCACGAGTAATCAGAAAAATACAACCATAATTACATGAGATTACCATTTTATGAGATACATGAGATACCATTTTACACAACTACATTAGGAATTGCTTAGAATTTTAACCAAACTGTGTTGGTAAGGATGTGGCAGAAGGGAAACGCTTAACCACTGCTCACACAAATATAAATTAAGACAACTACTCCAGAGGGTGATTGATCTACTATTGTTAAGGTGTCACACACTACTGCTCAGAAATTCCACATCTAGGTCTTTGTCATTGTGTATAGATAAAAAACACAAAGGTCCCTGTTATAAAATTAAACATGTCTATATATAATTGGTATATCCAACACAAATAGGCACTTAATTTTGTAAAATTCTCTTCTCTCCTCTGAGCTTCACTTATGAGAATAAATTTTTTTTTTTGGAGAGGTTTTTTTCGCTATAGGGCTCTTGCGCTCACCAGACAGAGAGAGACATAGAGACAGGAAGCGAGAAGTCACCCCCCAGGGGGGATGGTCACGCCGCAATCCCTTCTCCTCCATTCTCCTCTCAGGATCTTGGGCACGCAGGCACACGCGGCCGGCGTGAGTTTAAGCCACCGGGTCTGGGACACGAACCGTGGTTGACTACGTGGGAGTCCAGCGACATAGCCATTACACTAACTGCTGGTTCCCATGAGAATAAATTTTGAGAGACATTTTTGCTATAGGGCACATACAGGTGCCAGAGAGCCAAAGACAGAGAAAGTGAACAATCACCCCCCCCAAGGAGGATGACCATATCATAATCCCTTCTCCTCCATTCTCCTCTTGGGAATTTGGACACACATGCATAAGCACCTGGCATGAGTTTAAAGCCACTGGGTCCAGGATTTGAACCATGGTTAGCTATGTGGGAGTCCAGCACCTTAACCACTACACCACCTGTTGGCTTCAAATAAGCTATTTTTTTAAACATTCAATATAATATTTGTCAAATTTGAATGCAAAAATATAACCTACGATAATGTTTTTGTTATTGTTATCAATAAGCAGTCTGGTGACCAACAACAAACACTTTGTTATTCTTTTTGTTTTCCTTAAGTTTTTGCCGTGGGATGCATGCACTCCCCAGACAGAGACAGGGAAAGTGAGAAATCATCCCCCCAAGGGGAGATGGCCACACTGCATTCCCTTCTCTATTCTCCTCTGGTAATTTTGGACACGCATATGGGCCCAGCATGAGTTTCAAGCCACCAGGTCCAGGGGAATGGGGGTGGACCATATACAAGTCCAGTACCTTAACCATCACGCCAGCTGGTGGCCCAGCTCTGTTTTTTTATTATTTTTTTCTTTTTTTAAAGCTCTTTTACCAAAGCAAAACCTGCATTTCCAATTTCTCTAAAAGAGGAAAGGAAATTCTAGAACCCTGTAGGTGGGAGGGAGAAGCAGTGATAAGTCCTGAAGTAAAGTTCTTTTTCACAGCCCCCTGAAAAATCGTAGAAGAGACATTAGATTCTCCTCAAACTAAACAAGCAGTTTATGAGACGGTGCGTTGGCCATTTACTTATTATTTTTTTTACCAAGAATAAAAGCAACAGGGGGCTGGACGGTTGCGCAGGGATGAAACAGGCTCTGCGAGGTTGATCCATGTGGGAAGGCAAAGCTCTGGGTTTGTTCCCGCAGACTTCTCTGAGCACCTGGCACGCATGGGCTCATGATCCAGAGCTGGCTGAAGCTGAAGGTGGATCTTGGTATCAAGAACCTGTTGGGGGTGTCTCTGCCTCTCTTCTCTCCACCCTCCTGGCTAATGAAAGAAATAAATACACTTAAAATTGTAAAAATGATCAAAGTAATAAAAGCCACGGGCCCCATAAGGGCTCTGAAGGCATACGTAGCCTTCTGCAAACAAGTCCTTAAAACCTCCCCAGTGGCTGCACTGCACTGCTCTGCTTCCATCCCATAGGACGCAATAGGGGTGGAGCATAACCAGGGGGCGGGGCTTACCATGACACGCCCAGCGTCCGCAGGTCACCTGACATCCCACGTTATTAACTATCTGGTGCGCATCCGGATTTGCGCAAGGAAGGCCTAGGATCTCCAGGCTAGGACACCAAGCCCAACCGGGAGCGTCCTCCTGGAGGCGCCTCGTAGCTAGGTGACATTAGTAAGGTCGTGCTATCCGTTCATCTCAGCCCGCCTCACCTGTCATCGACAGCAGTCACCGCCTGCAGGACTGCGCCCCCGCACCCCGTCTCCTCTGCCAGGACCCGCAGCCATGCGCAGAGCCCTGGACGTGATGGGCAGCCGACCCCGCAGCCCCACCGCCTACCCTGCGCCCTGGTGGGCACCGCAGCCCGCAGGACCCAGTCCAGCCAAACGCCCCCGATTGCAGGAACCCGCGGGCCCCCACCGCTGACGCGCTCACCTCGGTGCTGGTCCTGGCCACAGGCTCTGCCCTGCAGCTGACCCTGGACGACGTCGACCTGCTGCTGGAGCCCTCACCGTCGTCCGTCCTGGAAGTGTCCCTCGACGGGCACACCCTCCTCCTGGTTCCCGAGGTCCTCCTGGGTCCTGTCGACCAACGCTCAGAAGAACACAGCGACCCGCCTGTCCACCTGGACCCGGCCGCTTTCCTGGACGCTCCCGCTGAGGACGTCGTTGTCGTCGTCGAGCACGGATCCTTCGGCGCATCTGTCCCAGAGTTCGCCGCCCCACAGGACGCCGAGATCCACGCGCCCTGGATGGACGCTGCAGCAGGTCAGGCCGCTGGGCTCCTCCCCTCCAGCCCCTCCGCCCAGGGCTCCATCCTGGAGCCAGAACTTCTGGCTCCCACCCCGAGTCCAGAGAGACGCTCTCCTCGCTCCATCTTCAACCAGGACATGCACCTTCTGAGGCCCTTCCCCAGCTCCCCCCTCCAGCCTCTGCCTCCCTCTCCGAGTCCAGGTCCCCAGGAGCGCCCGAAGCGCCCTCCTCGCTCTCCGTGCAAGTCCCGGAGACGCCTGTGCTGGGAATGAACCGCCTCCCGCAGTCCCTGCCACCGGCCTAGGATACTCGTGGATTTACCAAGAGCTACTGTGAGCCCGTGCCACCCCAGAGATGTAGTACCTCCATTCTTAGACAGTGAGCCACTGCATTTTTTATTTGGGTTTGGTGTTTTTTTATTTTTAGGAGAAAACCTTTCTACATCTCTGGCGAAGACGTCAAAATCAGATTCTGGAGAGCCTTTGCGGAGGAGAATAACCACCCCTGGCCGCTAATCTAATCATGGACCTTCTGGACCTTCAGGCGCCTTGCCTCGGGGCAGGGGCTGTCTCTTCCACCTCTACGCAGGCTTCAGCAGACTCTGTTCTCCCCTACTCATCCTTATTCTTGCTTCAAGCTCATCGCAATTTTCGTTCAGACATACTCCTGTCCCTCACCACCTCCCCGTGCAGCTCAGCCCTCTGCAATCCAGGCGGTGGTTTCGTAACATGAATTTACCTGTATGGTTTCCCTCTGTCCTCTGAGGTGCTTCTGATTTTGTTTTTCCCCTGTCTCTGGCTTTTCTGAGCACACATCCCTGGGTCTCGTCGGTCAATTATTAATACATGGCACACAGATCTGATGCCCTAGGCATTTTGGAAATGTTTCTAACATTAGAATTTAAAAATTAGAGCAACAGGTAATGGTGAAGCAAGGGAGGAGGCCGTGACATTGCTTCATTTCCAAAGCAGGTTTTGTAATGTCACGCTCCTTACTTTACCACCAAATGGTATTCCCAAGTTTTGGGCCCATTTGGGCTCCCCTTGATTTCCGCTCAGGGTAAGAGGTGACAGCTACTCACTTGCACGCACTCAGCTTCCCAGCATGGATATTTGCTCTAACTGCTTTTTGAGAACTATTTTATGCGTGCAAGCCCATCACCCAGAATTGCCGGTTGTTTTCTCTAGCGTTAGCAGTCATTCTGTTTCCTTAATGTGTTTTCACTGTAAAGAAAAACATGTATTATGGATAATGGTGTCACATCCTTTGGTCTTCATTCCTCTTCCCCACCCCCAGAGGATTCCTAGCATGACATTCCCGGCAACACGCGAATGCTCCTTAGACTTATGGATAGATATCACTAAGCTATTTATGTGAAACAGTTAAATTCATATAGCTGGCCTCATAGCCTCCCATTTGCTTTTTCCCAAAACTTTATTTTTGAGAGTGTGACTTGTAACTGTATAGTTTAAGGATTCCCATTTCCAAGGCATGACTGTGCCTCGTTTTATTTATTCATTCATCCATTTATTAGTGGCTATTCGTGTTTGCAGTTTTCATTATTTTTTTTTCTTTTTCTTTTTTTTTTTTGGAGAGATTTTTGCTATAGGGCACGTGCGCTCGCCAGACAGACAGAGAGAGACATAGAGACAGAAAGCGAGAAATCACCCCCCAGGGGGGATGGTCACACCGCAATCCCTTCTCCTCCATTCTCCTCTC